TTTCACAGTAATATTGATTAAATTTGAGTGATTCGGTGATTTTGCGGAGTTATTACTATATATAATTATGGTATATGAGATTTATTTTTCCGTCACATGATCCGAAAAAATGGATTTTGCGGTAAAAGTACCAGCACTCTGAGTGCCGGTACATTTTTCCGTAATATTTACTGTTAAGAGGGTCATGTGCAGGACCGTCTTAGACCAGTTTTTTTATTAATGTGTTTTAATTTTCAAAAAATGGAAATTTTATGCAATTTTCATTATTATTTAGTTTTTAAGAATAATGTCTTTCTTGAAAGTTTAAAACTGTATTATTTATTTCAGTTAAAGCAAGCATCATATGTGGAACGGAACTAATAATGCATAAATGTATTCTTTGAAACAAATAAATAAATTCAGTTAATTGAAAATAAATTATATTAATAATATTATGATATTATTAATTATATGAAAATAAATTATTAATAATATGAAAATAAAAATATTTTAGAGAAATATAAAACAAAAAATTTTTACCAAAGAATCACAATCATGTTTTCTTCTTTAAATATTAATATATTGCGGCTATTTGCTGCTATAACACCTTTTATAAGAGGTACAGTCTTAAGTAATTAGTTGTTTACAAAATTTAAATTTGGTATACGCGTACCATTGAACTTCATTGATATTTGAAACATATCTGAACTTTTTATACGTTTTATTTTTTCTAAATAACTGACATCAACCATAGAGATTGCTATCTCAATTTGTATAGTTTTTCAAATTCGTAGCATTTTTTTCCATCATTTCTAACTAATTCGATGTCATTACATTGACATTGACTTTTCAATGAAATTTCTGGTCATCCTATAGTATAATCAGTTGTTTTGTTTCTAGAACATTTAATACTCTTCCATACACACGCTATTTAAATTTATTTTTTAATTTATTTTTATATTAATAAAATATTTCATTTTGGAATATGCTAATTCTTAAACCCTTTTTTTCATTTTGTGCGATAAATTTAAGTTGAAGGAGGTATTATATATTTCCTGCAATATTATCTTTCCAAATAATTTAGCAAAATATTTTCATTTTCTGTCTGAATTGCTTCTCATATAGTGAATTCCCCTTGAACTTGCATTTAGTCAATACGGTAAATGAAGATCACTCTATGATAACTTTGTTTTCGTCACACATTCTAAAAATAATTTAAAAAAAAAATTAATGCTTAGACATTTAATTCATGAAAATATCCTGTGTTTATATTTGGCTTTAATATTCATGTAAATTACACGTGTTCTGTATACTGTTTGATAAAGAAACACTTCTTTTAGGATAACAGATCTAAAGTTTCATTCCAGAGGTAACTTTGAATTTCCTACAGTGGAGTGGAAAAAAGAACCACCCTGATTAATTTTTTATCAAATGTTCGTATTTTCTAGTACTAGGTACTCAGTCTTAATGGTTTGTCGGGGTGACAAGCTTACAAATATGCTCAAATATACTGATTAGTTAGAACAGACAATATTTTAAGTTTCAAAATTAGCCACAAAAATGTACTTTATCTGAATCATCTTTGCTTAATATGTCTTCGCTTTGACAAATTTGGATTTGTCACTCTCAATATATGTGGGATAGCTACAATCTGGGGAATATGATTCCGATAGTTTGTGATGAGAGCGGCAAAAGTTTGGACCCCTAGATGTTAATTTCACTTTTTAAGCATTTTGTTATAACCCGAGAAGGATTTGTGCTAATTAAAAATCTTTAATACTTTTATAAAATTCGTTTTTATCTTTAAGTAATTCCATACAAAAAATAATCCACGATAATTTTTATTTTTTTACTACTGTATTCATTAATAAACATTTTTTTAATTGTATGGTATACAAATTTTCACTTCTTTACAAAGAATGGATTTTTAAATGGCAAAATGCAAATTTTGAACGAAATCGGTTGAATATTCCCTGATCAATTGAATTTTAAACATCAGAATTCTTTAAAATACGATTTCTCAGAAACTATTGGACCGATTTCATTCTAAAATAAATATTTATTTGTTAATGCCATATTTTTGAACTAGTTGAACATATTTTTGCTCGATCAACCATCCCCATTCCTAGAGAGAACCATTTCTGTAGGTCACTTGAAATTAATAATATGTATAAGAGATTTGGAAAAGTATTATTTCCCCCCACTCTAACTTTCACTTTTTCTGTGCTTCATAAAATATGCATGAAAATTTCTCGATAAATCGCAGTAACACTATTCGATAGAAAAAAGGCCACTAAGAAGAAAAAAAAGGCCAATTATCATACGACTAAAACTAAGCAAAATCTGTCTATTTTCAATGCTTTACTTTTTTTTCTCTATTGCGTAAAGGACCATAGTATATTAGGTATAAAAATTAATTCTCTCCTTTGATGAAATCTTAAAGCTAACATATGCAGAAAGAAGGAAGAAAATTTGCTTTTAGATGAGATGTGATGAGAGAAAGTGACGAAAGTGAAAGTTATTCTTGTTCTAGTAAATAGTTTTAATTCCTGTTGCATTAAATGACATACGATATTTCATTATATTAATTTAGGCCGAATAAAATTTAAAAATTCCAAACCAAAAAACTTAATTACATAGCTCATCAATTGATGCATTCATTCATTAATCTCACCAGTTGATTAGGTCATTCAATATATATTAAGGTCAATATTATTATTCAATATATAATAAATTTAACTTTTCACACTGTACTCACACTACTGCTCTGGAGAAAGAGATAATTGCCTTAAAAATACTTACAGAAGGTTTACCCGTTCTCAAGTTATTATTACATTTAGATCCATGGAGTTCCAATTATGTGTAAAGAAAGTGTATAAAAAATTCTATACAAAAATTGTATATAAAGCACGTGCATAAAGAAACTGTGTTTCAATCCCAAATTAAGCTAGAATTTTTAAAGTGTTTGTTATTTTACATGATGCATGATAAAGCGCAAGGTGATGGAATTTTTAAAACTTTATTTGATGTCAAAATAGCGGAGCGCCCTCATAAAGTTTTGCGATTTGAGGAAACCCATATATTTATGAAAACCCATACATTTATGCGTGCAACGAAGATTTCTTTTTTCTAATTAATAACTAATGTTAAATGCATAAATCTCTTTATGAAACTTACTTTATTACTAATTAGCATTTTAGTAGTTTTGGCTCATAAAGCATGTTTAATGGATAGAGTTTCCACGAGTTAGTTTTAGCGTAGTACATTTTTGCTTTTCGTTTGTATTTGCTGTGAGACAAAATCATCTTGCTTAAATAAACGTGAGTATTTATAGTTTTATTTTTATAATCGATGATACTTGAGGACATATATTAAGATTTAACAAAATTTTCTGTTCTTAAGAAAGTTTGAAAATTTTTGAGGACAAAGATTGAAATTTGAGTACTGTCCTCAAGATTTGCGGACGTCTGGTCACCTAACTCTAACGCTAAGCAAACATTAAATTAAGACTGCTTGAAATTAAATTTATCCTGAAGTATTTTTTTACTTCGGTTCAGAACTTTAACATAATTATAACATAGACACTCAATGGAAGTTTTTATTCATTGATTTATTTGTTTCGTTACGCTTTTGCATTGAACATTTAGAATATATTTGCGACCGACGGATAATACAAATGTAGTAGTTAACAATGCACATAAGGCTCAGCACTTTTTGCAGAAAAGCTGACACCATCCAGCTGAGTCTGGATGGGTACTTCATGGTGCCACTGAAGATATGAACCACGTTCTATTAAAATGCCATTTTATTGCCTTAATCACGTAGTAATAGTGGCTGTCCAAACCTAACAATAACATTTTAAAAATTTAATTAATAATAACATAATTAATAACATACATCTTCCAAAAAGAAACGCTATTAAAACATGCATTTTATTTACATAATTATTAACGAATTTATACTCTTTTATAATTACTTAAAACTGTTAAAAAATATTCTACAAAATAAGTTAATTGCTGCAACCTTTCTCCCAAAAAATTCTTTTATCTCTTTGCCCCATAAAATAGTTTCCTATTTTATTTCCGGAATAATCTGATTCTAGAACAGAGCCTTAGAAATTCTATTCCCTTCTGGCGAAAACGGAATAAAAGAGGAGATTCTGAGATTCGTCCAATCCTCGATAAAAGACGAGGCCAAATTTCTTTTGACAATTCTTTTACGAACGAATAAGCCCAATTCCCCTTCTTTTACTGGGATGTCGATGATTATATTACATAACTCATGACACCATATGAGAGGAAATAGTTCATGTCTATTGTTCTCTTGCATTTGGTTCCATCAATGAAATGGGTCACAAGATTTTAACGTCACGATAACAGGCATCGATTTTAAGTGATTGTACGTTTTTGGAATTTATATACAGGTTCACTTTTAACAGTTCTTTGAAATGATGATTTCTTCTTTTTGCGAATTAAAAATATGTTTATGTTGTTTGAAATTCCTTTTTCGAAAACATTGTTGAATTTTACATTGATTTGTAAATATGTATGATTCCAGTTTAATTATTAAAAAGTAATATTAGTTGTCATTCAATATAATAATTTTCTTTCCCATTATACATAGTAAATAACGCGATGCGAAAAGGAAAAATCGCTATGCAAACAACAACAATAATCTCAAACTGAATTTCAAGTGAGAAACTATTTTTGTCGAACTCTGACTAATGATTATATAGCCTTTATTAGTGAAAAGACAGCTACAAACATCAAAATTTCAGTGTAATTGTCTGGTGAGGCTATGGCGCAAATCTATTTTGTTATAAAGCGTCTCCCTGCTTTTTCCTTAAATATATACATGTTTTTAAGGAAAAAATGGTTCTCTTTCTCTAATCGATAGCAATAATGATTCTTCAAATTATGAAAACAAATTATTTGTTTCCTCATTTAAAGATATAAATTTTCTGTTGATGAGATGAATATTTATTTATTTATTATATATTATTTATTTACATACATAAACTTTTGACAAAATGTTTTGAAAAGATCTTAGTAATAGATGTTCTCCATTAACAATTATACATCTTTCGCATTCTATATTCATCAGAACTAGTCATCTTTGATTTGTAAAAAGCATCCACTAATTTATGTCCATTTCTGGCAACCATCGTGTCGCGTCCATTCATGGAGAAAGATTTGCTTCCGTAAATCATTATGGAATCATAGTCAAATGTGTTGTACAGTATATTTTCATGTGGTTTCAGCTTGAAAAAATTGCCTTTCATACCTATATATTAATTGAAAACAAAACATTATTATTCGCAAAATATGTACTTTACTCGTATAATATTTGTGTTGTAAATTTTTAAAGGTAAAAATAAAAATTATAATATTTCTGATGTATAATATTTGTGTTGTAAATTTTTAAAGGTAAAAATAAGAATTAACAAGCACTTATGGATATTTACAAAAAATCTATTCAAGTTTTACATGTTATAACAGTATTTTAACCCCTTAGTGGTAGCTTAATTTTGAAGTAAATGGCCATATATGTGGCCATTTGTTTATTCAATAAAATTACATAAAACTAAGTGTATACGCAATGTATGTGCTAATTTTTAATTTTTGGGTTTATTTTTAGTTTACTTGTTTGAGAGTGCTGGCATCTAGTTTAAAACAAACTATATCTAAACACATGACAAATTGTCTAGAACTGCCACCTGTTGATTGAAAAATAAACACGATTTCGGGCATAATAAATAGATCTTTTCTGTTTCTTTAATCCTTTCTATTTCTTTAATCTTTTCTGTGAGCTACTTTTAAACACAACTACCCGGAAATATCACCTGCACGGGAAATAGAGGACAAAACTTCACCCCTTCTTTTTGACTGGAGCAAGAGGGAAATATTAGTATATTATAATCTAAATATTTCATATCGTAAAGTGGTGTTAAAATGATTGAACTAACGATTCTGATAAAATTAATTGAAATATTGTATTGTTTATGTATAATTGATTATTGCATATAACTATATCTGAACCACATGGTATATCGATATCGGAAAATAGACGTTTATAAGTAAACCATTATAATAGAGTATGATTTATTAATATAGATTGATGTATGGAGGAGTCGGTTAAGAGTTAAATTTTTATCTCTAGCGATGTTTATTTAAAATAGACTTTTGAATATCATTCAGCAAGGTTTCAATAGTGTGTACGCTTAGATGCTATTTTTCAGAAAAATTAATTTAAAATTATGAATGATAAGCATTTTTGTCAATAAAAAAGTCTAAGCTGGAAATCAAAATAAACATACAAGTAATTAAATTTCGTAAATTGAACTAACGATAATATTATTTTTTCCAGGAAGTATGTAATATATAATTTTTTTCTTTAAATTATAGTTTTTGTCGCATGAACTTTCTCTATTTATGTGATGAAGAAAAATTTATTATCAAAATGATCTTCATTCAACTTTCTGTTGTTCAATAAACTTAAAATTTACTTCAAATTAAATAGATTAAGAAGCCGAAATACTGAACAAAAGACTATTACTACGTTTGAAATGTTCATAAATCTAAGTTTCTTTTGTATTGTTGAAATTTTAATATTTTATTTTTACACTGCTGGAATTCCCATTCTAAAATAATGGTAAAATAGCCGGCAGCCGATTGTCCGTTTAATGAACCGTAAAGTTTACACGATAAAGAACATTTATCACCTTTACGCTTTTGAAACCAATATGGTTAAAAATCATAATTTCAAACTACGCGATTTTTTTTATCATTTACTATTAGCATGGTTTCAAAACCATAATAAAAAAACTTATCTAGAGCTTTGCTTTTAGTTAGGTAATGTGCATTGTGGTGTAAAATTGTGGTGTTAGAAATATTAGGGTGCTAACGCTGGGAATCAAACCTCCGATCAGTCGGTCATGAGACGGACAGAGTAACCCTCTGGGCTATAATATAGGCACAGCTACAACGAACTAAGTGACTTCCTTAAGTGGGCCTAGTTGGTACTATAAAATTCTGGTTGTTTACCAGTATTAGGTGAAAGCAGTTAGTTAACGGTTATACTGGAATTCAAGAATTTAAATACCATCCTTTTTTATCGTTATTTGTCTATTTTATTTGAATATAGTAAGGAAAAAAATAATTAAACAAATTGTTATTCAATAATTTTGATCGAGAAATATCTAACACTGCACCACACTGCATATTACTCAAATACTTCCAGCTAATTTGAAAGAAATCTCAAATCTGTTTATCAATATTGTATATGAAAAGCAAAAATAAAAAGCAAATTAATTTTGTTTCAATAAAATTTTGTTTTGTTTATATTTTAAAAGTAACAAATAAAAAACTGATAAATAACTTTTCAAATTTGTTGAATGATAATAAAATTATTTCTCTGAGAACGTAGTATGGATCTCACATCTGTCTTTTTCTTTTTTTTTTTTCTTAATGATTTTGTTTCTACGGAAAAGAAAGCGTTTCTTATCATAAACAACAAAGTTTCAACCCTGTAGATACTAATACAAAAGTTATTTACTTTGATCGACGTTCTCAAGGTAGATAATCAGATATTCATCTCTGTCGGATCTACTTTGTTCATGAAAAAATCCAACAGCATGACCCAGCTCGTGAATAACAATACCAATATATAAGCATCCTTTGCCAAGTGACACTGGTTGCTGACCACCTGTTCTTCCAACGTGCGAGTAGCACCTGCATTTAAAATTAAATACGGATTGAATTAATCCCCATATGACTTCATTTATAAAGTTTTTAAGATATCAACTGTAGCAACTAATTATGAACAAATCACAGTGCGAATTATTTAACAGTGTTAAAATAACTGTGTTTAAATAATATTGTTAATTATCTTACAAAGTGTTAAAATAACAATATTTTTATGATATCGTTAATTAACTAACAATGTGTCATAATAAAAATACATTAAAATGGCAGCATTATTTATCTAACAGTGTTAAAATAATTGTGTTTAAATGATCTCGTTAATTAAAAAGTGTTGAAATAGCAATATTTTATGACAGCATTAATTAACTAACAAAGTGTTAAAATAAAAATATATTAAAATGACTGCATTAATTATCTAACAGTGTTAAAATAACTGTGGTTAATTGATAATGTTAGTTATTTTATTAGAATGTTAGAATACTAATGACTTTATGACATTGTTAATTAACTAACAAAGTGTTAAAATAGAAATATATTAAAATGGCAGCATTACTTATCTAACAGTGTTAAAATAACAAAGTTTAAATGATAGTGTTAGTAATCTAACAGAATGTTAAAATATAAATGCTTATATGATATTTTTACTTATCTTGTTAGTAAAAGTATCATTTACTGGTGTGTTAAAATGGTAAAGCGTTGATCCCATTATTAGATTTCAAACACAGTAGTAAAAGCGAAATTTAAATCACATTGTTACTTTGCTAACATATCCCTACATTTCTCTAACAATAAATTAAAATAGCGCACGTACGTAGAAAAACGAACATTTCATTGTTAATTATATAGAGTATTAAAAAAGCAAAAGTAATTCACATTGTCAGTTAACCAAAAATGAGTTAACATTATTATTAATTAATTAACATTACTTTAAATAAAAAAAGTCAGTTCATTTTTGTTCCATTATTAATTTTTTGTCACATAAATAATAATTTTTTTAATCTGATTACAAAGTAATTTCTTAAAAATTAGTTTAAAAAAATTGCAAAATTAAAAACAAAATATTTACCCGTTTCCAGAAAAGATCTTGATATAGTTTTTTTCTTTCTTTCTTGGAACAAACCTAATACAAGTCCTTCTATGATATTCATTCATTGCCTGTTGAATTACATTTCTGGCTTTGCCTTTGTCTTAAAAAACGAAGATTATGTTTAGGTAACTACACTATTAAGTACAGAAAATAATTTGTTAATTGTTAGATTCTCAATTATAATACTATTCAAATTGCTAACTGCACGACAATTAAGGGTAAGAAAAAGGGTACAGTTCCGCCCTAAAATTGAATATTCAGGAATGAATATCCAATATATACTGTTTTATTGCTATTGCTATGAAGTAATGAACGAGGATGAACCCGAAAAATGTTTCAAGACATGCGGGACTATTGCTGAAACAGTATATGAACCATTGTTATTGAACTCATCAGTCACTATAGTTGTTACGAAAGTTTACTGCTGGCTTATTATCTATAGTTCTGAAATGGAATTTACCACAAACGTTTTCTTATAAAAAAAAGTGCTTTCCCTTTCAAGCTTTATTTGTCACTTGTTATAGAATCATCATCTGTTATAAAAGTCTATATGTCCATGCTTGCCCATTTAGACTGCTATCGATAGCCGCTTCGACAAAACATTTTGAAATATAATCGTGTTTCTGATAAGCTTTCTATCAATTTCAAGAACGAGAAATAGATTCAGGGTCTCAAATAAGAGACATCCAGAGCCATCTCTTCTCAATCTAAAGAAATATATTCTTTGCACCATAACTATTTATTTTAAATTAATGCAACTGTTTTCAGGATCCCTGCGCACACAAATAATATTCATTATCCTCTTTGTAATATGTCAAACTTTTCTTAACCTAGACGTGATTTTTCACCCACTTGTATTAAATAGTCTTTCCGGTTTTTAGTTCTGAATAGGATCAATTGTTTATTATTGTAATATTAATATTACAATTTTAATTTTCATTGCCACTCAGACATTGACGCTATGTGAGAAACTTTTTAAATTTATAATTTCTAAGCTAACAGCTGTAAAAATCTTGATTTATAATGAAAATAATAAGCACAAATAATAAGTAAGCACAATTCCTATTTTTTCTGATTTTCTTAGTTCATATCTTTAAAACTGAAATTCGCAATTGTTTAAGTGACCCTCAGCAAAGTTTATTTATTGTGTTTTAAATGGAAAACAAATATTTTTATTAGTTTATTTTATCATCTAATTATGTAACCAAATTTTTTCCGTCAAGTTCATAAATTTCTTTTTTATATTCTGAAAGTCTTATATTCTGAATTGCTTTCTCTGCACTGTAAAAAATTTCAAATCATATGACGATTCAAAGAATCGGAACTTTGGGCGCATGATACGTAAAATTGAATCCATTTTTACCGTAAAATATTAACCCGTGATATTTATGATATACCAGTGATATTTTTAATAAGAGTGATTCTGTGATTTTGCGGTAATTATTACTGCAAAAATGAGGGTTAATTAAATGACGGTTAATTTCTTGTTCCGTAACATTATGTTCTGTTAAAAATTGTTTTTCGGTAAAAAGTACTGTTAACCTGAGTACTGGTACTTTTTACAGTAACCTTAGAGTGAATTAATAAGTAATTGTAAATAGTTGCTACTATTTACAACTAATTAAAATAAGAGATTGGAAAAAAAGTGCACTTGGATAAAAACGATCTTTAAACAAAATTTGATAAAAAATTAAATAACGTTTTTTTCACAAGTTACAAGCCTCAGATTGTAAAGATTTCTTTTTTTTAATTTAGTCGCATAAATCTAAAATGTGTTTTCAATTAAACGTAATTTTAACTTTTTACATAATGATTCTCAAAGCACTTTGAAATTTATTTTCAACGATATATAAGTTAAAAAGATATGGATAATAATAAATAATTCATACTTAAAGATGAGTCGATAATATATGGAATAGTTGCTTGTGGCCACCTATATCTCTCTCCTGTTGTAGCACTACGGTCGGTGTCCTAAAATACATTTATTACTAGCATCCAAATATTAGTAAAAGACCTATACTGTGGTCGGAACTGGTCTGATGCGGAATACGCATCAAATATCGAATCTAGTTCACCTCGTTGGAAGGCGTACGCTCTATACCCTGAGTCATCATGGCTCAGTACGGCATATTAGTAGAAGTTCGCTAATACAACGAATTTCTAAGTCACCATTCTAATATTTATAATAAATTAAAATTACATGACCTCCACTACTAAGCCAAAAAGATAGAGTAATATCAAATCCTTTTTGACACTTAAAAGAGTATTCCTGCACAAGAAAAGTTTCAACGGAAGATAATTTTAGGTTTTTATCATATTAATACAAAAAACTGCTAAACGAAAATGTTTACCATCTTACGATTTTAACTCCTTCCAATATTCCAATATTTAAAAACAGTGTAAGTGAACACCAAGTCATCATCATTTTTTGACCACAAATCAATAGTAAGCCAATTATTTTGCGTCTTGACAACTTACTATTAAAATCAAGATTCAGCGTTATCAAGTTAAGAGACATTAAGAGTTACTGCACTTAATTTTATTTCCTTCCTGTAAAAAATTTTTATGAAATGAAATCTCGATGCTTCAAAATTCGTCTTCTAAACATTTTTGTCTTCTACAATGTATGAAACTACGTAATTCAGTCTAGAATCTGTAGGCTGTAGCAATTTATTTCAAATATGTATATGTATTGATCATCGCTATTATGGACATCTTTTTTACTATAGTTAAATAATAATATAATATGGTATAAATAATTTGTAAATATTTATAAGGAATAGTATAAATAATTTGTAAAAATAAAAGTAACACTTATTAATTTTAAAACACTTATAAATTAAAAACTATTCCACGGATTTCAAGCAAAATTTGTGTTTTACTATATATTTTATATTCTTTCATGTGCACAAATTTGCACGCATTCAATTTATTTCGATTATTACGTAAAATAATAAATACTTATTAAAAATAATTTTTGCATAGCATTATCTTTGGATAAAATAAATTTTTAATTGTGTGCAAAAATTTCTAAATTCTCTTGAAAATTTTCGAGACTTAGTATGCAGAAGTAAGTTTAACATGAAAAGCTCTAAACTTTGGACCACTCTCCTGACAAAACTATTGGGACCATATTTCTTAGATTGCGACTACCAATATACCGGGGTCAATAATACCGGGGTCATAAATCCAAGTCCGTCGAAAAAAGGTATGTTTATTCAGAGAAAGTACATTTTTGTGTCTGATTTTGTAACTTAAAATGTCGTCTGTGCTAACTAATTAGTATATTTGTCACCCTTTCGAACCATAAAGATTGATTCAGGATGTTTAGTGTTTTTTTTAATTTTTTTTAATTTTTTTATTTTATTTTTTATTTTTTACGTACTGTTGAGCTAAGGAATCATTATTGTGACCTGAAGTATACCTGGATTCAAACTGATGGTTAATATCTTTTCTAGGAATTAAAAAAAAGTTACTCCATAGTTTTGTTCCAAAACTATGGAGTCTCAACCACCGTGACCCCTTGCCAGAAACTGACTACTATGGAAGAGCTACTTTATTTTAATATCTTTAAATAAAGTAATACTCACAATAGGTCCTGCTATATCTCCCTCAAACAAATTGGGATTTTCCAAAGCATTCCTTGCCTCTAAATTAAAAAGGAATTCCAAATCATATAGTGCTTAAATTAGAATATTATTTTTTTTTTAGTTTCCAATACTTCTCCCGATTCAGGATGGGAGAGGATAAATAATTTTAGTGAATGTACTTTGTTTAAAACTTAGTAGTTTTAATAAATGTAGCTCTTAATACCTTAGATTTTTTTTAAAATAGAAATCGTTGTTGTGTTATTATAAATGAAACCTGAAAACTCCTCAACTTTCTACTGTATTTATTTTTTTATAGTTGATAGAAATGGCTTTGAGTTCAGAGTAGGAATTAAAATTTTTCTAAACAGGCAAACAAGGCATTGTTTGCAATGTTTTTTTAAAACTAATTTTACTGAGTTCAATCTCACGACGATAGGAATATCAGTTCAGATATATATGGGTTTTATTTATAAAAACACAAATTTGTAATTATTCATATTTAAGCATATGATAATGCTATCTAAAGTGATATATTGTTTCCAATGTATTATCTTATGCTGAATCAATGAAACTAGACAAAGTCGGAAGGAATTTTTATGTATAAGAGAAAGAATTTTTATGTATAAAAGAAAGAATTTTGATGTATAAAAAGTACTTCGCATAACACATCCCTTACGTGCATGCCTTACAATTCTAACCAGGGACTGTCTAAAATATGTAAGGTAAATTTTCCAATGTATTTTTTTATGATGATTTGGATGAGCTTAATTCCGTAAAGATTAGCATAATAGTTTAAAAGTTAAAAGCATTTTATGTACAAAAAGTAAAATTTTGTTCTTATACTTGTTTGCACATCTTACATTGTTAAACAAGCAAATGAAATAGAACTTAGAATGAATAGAACTTATAACTTTTTTTCTCTTTTAATTGAAGAAGATCAAACATGAATCAAAAGATCTAATATTTCAAAAGTTTAAATGATGTTTTTTAAAATTTTATTAGTTTAATTTATATTGATTAATATTGATTTAATTAATATTGATTAATTTAATTTTTGAAAAAAAATTAAAAATGATCTTGTTTGCCGTTTAAAAATAATGTAACCTCTTTAAAAAAGTATACTATAATTGTATTATTTTTTAAGCTTATTTTTTAACGCTAAGGTGAATTATCATTCACAAGCTGCGGTCACTAAATTCTTGACCATTTACCAACTGTAGGATTTTGTAGTGATTTGTCATACGCGGTATAAATAATTTAAAATAAAAACAATATTACACTACTTTCTTTAGCTTTTGGCTTAACGTTTAAAACAAAATAAGATAAAAAAATTATTTTAAAACAAATAAAAAAATAAGTATTTAAAAAGGTTAGGTAAGGAATAAGTATAACACATTGCAAAATACGTTGAAATATCCTGGTCACTCTTTCAAAAAAAGGCAAATAAAAGAAATAATTCCACTGTCCGAAAGAAACAAAACTTAGTATTTTACAGTTTAAAAATACAATGCCCTTAATACCAGTTTCAAAATAAAATATCTTCAATTTAAATAAAATATTCTTATAACTACAGTATGTTTATTATATTTGTGGAAATATAAAAAATTGTGCCGTTATAAAAAATGTTTATTATAGTTGTGCAAAAAATGATATTATATTGCTGAGTCATACCTTATTATAAAGGTAAGCACTAAATATCTTAAAAAATATACTAGGTATAATATTTACTCCATAAAATATATTTTTAAACCCGATTTCGTATTAATAATTACCTTTTACTTGATCTGGTGAGAGATAGATTTCAGCCAAAACTGTTGCCAACAGGAATGAAATAATCAAAACATATTTTGCTGCCATCTTGTTGATGAAGTTAAACTAGTTTTAAATGATGCTTCACTGCGAATATTTACCATAAACGGTACTCTATATACGCACAAAAACACACCCGTTTCACATTTTTTGGAAAGTTTAACACCTGCTGTTTTCTAACGGAACCACTTTTCTCATTTCGCGCAATGTTGTTATAGATAATTGATTCTTTTCTTTTGTACATAAGATAAAAGAATTTTCTTTAAATAAAAGTCACCTTTCTACTAAAAGACGTAAGAACTTTTTTGCGATTAAATGTTTTGCTATACTTCATTTAAGTTAAATTTCCTAAGGGTTCATCAACTATAAAATACCCTCGTTAAAATATAAAATTCATACTCCCTTTCCTCTTAGAATTTTGCAAATCGTTTTCTTCAAAGTTAATACTTTGTAAAACAATACCACGTTGAAATCTTTTATTTTATTTTAAAACTAGATATGATTATTACTTTATTTTAGATACAAGTAATAATGTCGTTACCAAAATTAAAAGATTAAAAGTACATTCTTAATCAGTTTCTTTTTTTAAATTGAAAACAGTATTTAAAAGATTAAGAAATTATACAAAAAAACTTTGGGGAATTAATTTGACCGAGGACTGGATAAGAAGATATTATTTATTTACACAGGGAGGAAATAAAACTATAATTGGGAACATGTATCGTTAATAATTTTTCAGACCCTGAAATTAAAATAATGTGTTTAGAGATTACTCGATTCATAAGGAAAAAGGAAGAATTTTGCAACAGTTTTTGATGAATTAAAGAAAAAGTAATCAATAAACAGTTTTTTGCTAATTTATTCATACAAAATTATACACTTGAATATAAGAATTTTTTTAAATAATATATTCGAATTATAAATACTATATCACTAGTTTATATTGCGCAGGGTAGGCATTTGAAATGTAAATGGAGAACTATTTTTTTATCTCCACTGAGAGCTGAGTTCTCGTCATGTTGCGATTGTTTTGTGATTATACACACATTTTTACGTAAAAAGCAATTTTCTTTTCAGTTTACAACATTTTCCTATTTACAACAGTATATAAAGAAATTGAAAATCATAATAATTTAAGATTTTACATGCCGATGATTCAAAATATGTTGAATATTCGAAAGTACGACACTTTCTTCTGTATTTATAATTTAATTTGGAGTCTAGCTTATAACATTTAAAACTTTGGTAACATTCTGAAAATGCCTCAGTTAAATAGCCGAACCACTTGCACTCTTTCTTTTCAAACATCATGAAGTGGTTTCGCAGCTACTCAATTCATTAAGCAATGAGATTAAATTCTCCCAGCCATTGAGAAAAGTAAAATACTGCATGTTTTTAGAACTGTAAAAGGTATTAATTTTAATCTCTAGTTCTTTCTTTTAATCTAAAGAATGCTTTTTTACCACTTGTACGATGACCACTAACCACTTGCGACCGTTTGTTCAATAACAGAAACCACCTGTCCAATGTTTACAAATGAAGCGTCAAGTGCATTTCTATAGTAATAAAACTATTAGCACTATCTTTCGCTATACTTGCTACGATATCAGCACATTTTAATCGTTGAGAAAGGTGCAAAATAATGATTTTTTTTTGAGGGGGGCAGCAGTGGAAATTACTTACTTGGGAGTGGTAATCATATTTTTTATTAATATACCACATGAAAATGTATTCAAACATTTTATTGCATTGAAAAAGAAAAAAAAGCCAAATTGTGCAAAAAACAGGAACGTTTTGAAAATAGGATTATGGAATACGGGAGAAGCAGCCTTAGTAGGTACTTTTCTTTTCATTAATTGTTCCAACGTAAATATTACAGCGTAATAAAGTTTGAACAGTAATGAAAACTTTTAAAATAAAATTTTATGAACTTTGTCAAAGGAGAAATCATTAAGTGTAAAAATTTGGAGTCGCTATTTAGTATTTCAGAAAGACCCTATCGGAATCTAGCAAACAACTATAGAGTTTGAAAATTTTACAAAAAAATGTTATTACAGATGGAACAGAGTAAATGTGACGGGGGTTTATTCTTTTTTTTTTCTTTTTTGTCGTATGCCTGTTTAGGCAGTGGGGGTGCGATTGTTCCTGTTTTTCAGCGGCACCATCTATGGTCAGGAATTCGACTTCTGTCACGCCATTCACACAACCACAACCCGTTTATAGGGCGGGTCACATTCACACACATTGACACACAAAGGAGAAAAGACATAGAACACGCAGAGAGAGAAAGAAAGATCCATGCCTTGCCCGGGATACGAGCCCAGGACCTTTCTGATGCAAGGACAGTTCCCTGCTCCCTACACAGGCCATTCGGCATACATCGGTTTCCTTAATAAAGTATCGAACGAATTCTTTTAAGATTTATAGATATCTCAAAAAAACTTTAAATTAAATGGCTGAAAGCTATAAATTGGAAGCTGCAGGAATAAATGCATTAAAAATCAAATAGTAAATAAAAAGGAAATTAAAAGACTCTGAAAAAAATGGCTAAGAATCACTTTATAAACTTTTTTTTCCCTCAAAGAGTACAAACCCTTAAGTAATCTTATTATTTAAAAAAATATCTGAAATAAGTGAAATTACTTATCGAAATATTTTATTCTTTATTTTACATTAACTTAAATAAATTGAAAAAGGAAAATTTGAATTTGATTATATTTATTCCAGTGAAGAAGGAAGGGTTCAGAGAACGTTACTCGTAAATGTTTAAGAAAAATATAAGAATTCTTTGAAAAATTATCCAGAAGCAAAGAGAAAAACCCAAAATATTTTTCCCATTGCGTATGAAAACCAAGTAATTATTTTAAAAAAAAAATAACTAGAAACAACTAAAGTCCCAAAATTGACCTCTTATTCTAAATTCACCAATAAATAAATTGATAAAAAATGTGATTATATTCATTTCAGTGAATATTATATTCATTTCAGAGAAGCAGAAATGGTTCGAAGAAAGTCACTCATAAAAGTTTAACAAAAATATTAGAATTCAAAAATATTCTCAGAAGAAAGACGCAAAGCCTCATTACTTATGAAAGTCGAGGGTTATTTTGAGATTCCCTTAAAAATAAATGACTCGCGAAATCGATTCCATTTACAAAGGAACTTTGAACATTTTTTCACGCTTAGAACAAAAACATGAATCTTACACCATAAAATTCATCTTTCTTCACCTTTCTTCCATCATCTGAATCATTTACAGCCTAATTACGATATTCTAGGCATCATTAAATCCTCCTTTAAGAATAAAAGAGAAAAATGATCATTATGATGCCTTAGAAGAAAAGAACGTTTNGTATATACATCTCTTTTCATTAATTGATCCAACGTAAATAATATTACAATGTTTAATTAATGAGTAGAATAGCAATATAAAGTTTCAAAAACCTATGCTGGGTATCTTCTATATTAAAAAATTATGAAAAAAATATGTAAACATTTTATTTGAAAAGTGCCTAAAATGTAAGGGTTTAGGAGGGAGGGGAATATTGCCCTAATGTTAGAATTAGTTTTTTTCTTCATTGCTGGAATCCACATAATTTATGTTCTAGGGTTTAATTGCTTGAAATTTAAAAGTGAAATTTGCGCAAAATCTTTATTTGGAATAAACATAAGATAATAATTTTATTGGGAGTGTTTGAAAGAAAAGTCATTACGAGGATCTGAAACTAATACTTTTTACAACTAAAATCCGAATAAACTAAACACGTGCATTTAGATGTTAAGCGCAAAATAATAAGCATAAAAATTGTTTTGTGAGGTATTTCGAGCCTACAGCTTTTTTTGTTGAGAAAATATCTTCTTCAGAAAAAATGAATTGTTTTTCATTCCCAAATCTATATAAGTTACATTCCATCATTTAATTACTTAAAAACATAAAAAAAGACATACAAATGTTATTTTTGAAGTTTTTGAAGCTTACGATTTAATGGGGGTAGGGATAATGCGATACTCACGGACTATGATTTTTTTCCATCATCAGGATCTGGATAAGCTACATTCAATTGCTTAAAATCCATTATGCGAAAATATATTATTTGGAAAGTCCCTTAAACTTACGGTTTTAAGGAGGAATAGTGATCATATACTCCTCTGAGTATATGAGTCATCTTTTCTGAGTCATTACTGAAACACATGTGATTTATTTTCCAGCTTCTATATGCTTGTATTCCAAAAAAATATGCATTAAATTTTTATTCCTAAAGTAAGTACAAATTATAGTTTTTAGAAGGAAAGTGCACCATCAGGAAATAGGAATTATTTGTTTCCCGTTGTTGAACTTCTAAAGAGTATGTCCCTAAAAATTCAAATCTTTATAAATTTCTTCAACTATTCATCAATTTTTGAATTAATTTGAATGTGTTATAAACATAGTCAGGAAAAGAAATATATGTATATTAAGTAGGTAAAACTTAATCTGCACTATGGGACTAACCTGCACTATGGGAAAATACCTATATTTCCAAAAATTTCTACGCTTTTATTCATACTTCGTTTTCATATAAAGTTTGAACCGTAATGAAAACTTTAAAAAAAAATTTTTATGAACTTTGTCAAAAGAGAAATCATTAAGTGTAAAAATTTGGAGTCGCTATTTAATATTTCAGAAAGACCCTAACGGAATCTGGCAAACAACAATCAATGACAATTTCCAGAAAATTTTTATTGCTGATGGAACAGAGTAAATGTGACGAAGGTTTATTAGAAACACTTTTAAGTTTCAATGCGCAATCAAACAGGTTTTGATATTGAATACTTTCACCGTATACAATACTGACTTGTCAAACACGAAACGATACTGATTTTATTTCTTTCGCTTAAATAATCGTTTGCGTCCCTAATTTATACTTCTATATTGTTCCAGACATAATTTCAAGCAGTGAACTCTGTGATTCTAAAATACTTTATAATACTTAGAAACTGCATTTTAATTAGAGTAATTGAATACGTATTTTAATTTTACCTTGTTTGCCCAATCTATTGAAATCCAAGAGATGTATTGTAACATAAAATTCTATTATGTAAATGTAATAAAATGCTACAGTGTAAAATTGGTTGACTTGTAAATTATCACAATATAAGCCCAGGCCTATTTCTTGCCGAACATGGAAACTTTATTTTCAACAATTGTACATTTT